TTTAAGTATGTTAATATTTAATTAACTCTCACTACATCAGATGAAAGGCAAAAAGGCAAATAAGAAAAACCGCTAGACGAAATGTAAGAGTGGTCAGATCGACATGCAGGAGCCTGTGTGACGGTGGTGCTTTTCTGTTTGGAGTGATAGAAAGATAAAGTCCTAAAACAAAGATTTTTACTCGAACAAGTTCTAATATATATCAATAGACGTTCATTGTATTTCCAGTGAGTTTCCATTGTCCAGCTCCTGGTGCCACGCTCGTAAGTCACTCACCGTGCCAGGAAAAAAGAAAGGATCGGTACTTAGATTCGATAAAAGCTTGGCACCTTTTATAACACTTCAGACGGTGTAGAAGTAGGTTGTTAGCCTTGTTTTTGTTATTGTACTGGTATTCACACATCGAATAAATGCACCTGGAATCATTATGGGGATCACACAGTCGCGTATAGAAATATAACGGCGAAACTAATTTCGTTCGTGATGCAAAACAAATTGTTGAACTGGGTCTGCCATCTCGCATTCACTCATAGCCCTTTCAATTCTCTTACAGGAAACGTGTTGTTATTTAAATTAACTTTTTTTGGCAAACTCGCGTTTTAAAACTACTAATTTTCTTGAACTGTTTCACCGGCCAAAATGATGTTTTATGATATAACGGTAACCAATCTTTCTTTTCTTTTACCTATTCACGCTAATCCATTTCGTGCACACGCCTCAATTCATTCTCACTACCCAAGAGTACAACATAACTTCGAGGTATTTGAGTATAAGCCGTTCATTCATGCAAATAAATACATTCGTTCCATACAAAATTTCGTTGTTGTGGGTCGTAATATCAATAAAAAAAACTATAATTTATTTTTTAAATTTAAATTGAGATAATTTCTTATCGACCGCATCGATTCAATATATACATGTAACATCTTTAAGAAAAGGAATCTTCGATGCATTTCCCGATGGAATACTGGAATGGCTCTTAAAAAAGTGCTGAGATTAATGTAACTAAGTAAATAAATTAATGTTAACAGATACATAAATCATTGTCAAATAAAGTGATGGAAATTGAATGTCAACTTGAATAAATGAGAAAATTATTATTTTCAGAAACAGGGTAGGAAACTAGCTAGAACGATGACACTTCCAGGGTAAGAAATCTGAAGTACATAGTTTAAAAAAAGTACCCAAAAGGCCTGGATACTAAAGAATAAAACCCAAACGATAGAAAAATGAAACAAGCCCCATAAAACCGAGGCAATAAATTTAGCAAACAACAAAACAAGGAAAATTGTACAAAATATCTATACTAAACACAGACAAAAGAAAAAATTAACAATACAGAAGTTGTAAAACCTAGTACAAACCAAAAAAAAGAAAAATTCAACGTAAACATCAAATAAAAAAGAGATAATAAACATAGCGAACAACAAAAGCAGGAAAATTGGACAAAATATCTATATTAAACACAGACAAAAGAAAAATTAACAATACAGAAGTTGTAAAACCCAGTACAAACCAAAAAAAGAAGAAAAATTCAACGTAAACTTCAAACATAAAAGAGACAATAAACACAACGAACAGCAAATGCAGGAAAATTGTACAAAATATCTATACTAAACACAGACAAAAGAAAAATTAACAACAATACAAAAGTTGTAAAACCCAGTACAACCAGAAAAAAATAAGAAAAATTCAACGTAAACATCAAACAAAAAAAGGACAATAAACATAGCGAACAACAAAAGCAGGAAAACTGGAGAAAATATTTATATTAAACACAGACAAAAGAAAAACAACAATTTTGTACAAACCAAAAAAACGGGGAAAAATTCAATGTAAACATCAAACAAAAAAAGACAATAAACATAGCGAACAACAAAAGCAGGAAATCATCTTCAGGGCCTGGGATTTACAAACAATGTTTACATTTAACAATTACATTTAGGATGTGGAAAAGTGAATTTATACAATGCAAAATATATTTTATATTCAAACAAAGTATTTCTACTAACTCAAAGTGTTTGTCTTCTGTGTAATTGTGCCATTCTTGCGTGTCGTGTTGAGAGTGCCAGTGAGATTTTGCCGTTTTATGTTTATATACGTTGGAGGATTTTGAAGGGGTGGGGAAGTAAGTCGGTATAGAAAAGACATTTTTGTATAAGGCATCGGCTTCTTTGAGGCCCTGAAGATGATCTCAATAAAGATCGAAACGTTGGCACGATAAAGGAAATGTTTTTCTGAAACCTACATCACACCAGACCGCATCTCACGATTTCTGAATAGTCATCATATTCATCGATAATTTCGGTTTCTTTTGTTTTAAGTTTCTATGCTGTATTTCGGTTTAATGCTTGGACAAATGTTGGCTGTTATTCGAAGTAAAAAAACGCTTGTTTGCCAAAAGTGAAAAGCGGTACTTGGAATCGCGAGAGTAAAAGCTGCAAAAAAGCCCGTTTTCTCGTTTCCCTTTCTTGAAACATCCGACGGCAATCCGCTAAAAGCCTTCTCGAGTGAAAACGCACGCCTTTCTGTCTGCATAAGACACATAAAAATTACAGCTTTTTTTTCTTTCTGGAAAAATATGCTTTCACATGTGCTTGATGTGCGAAAAGCCGTGTCTTGGCCAAGAACGGAAAACGCGAAATCGACTTACGTACAAAAGTATACGTACATATCCTCTTTGCCAAGTTGACAACAATTCCAATTATGTAATCATTAACTACGCTTTATTTTTGATCTAATAAATAATTAAATAATAAAAGTAATTGACGAAATAGAATAATTTTAAATGTTACTTCTTCTTAGTTATTGACCATCTATTGACCCAACGAATCATTAAGATAGTTAATTTGTTTTGTGTCAATAAAATGTGTAAATAAAATGTAGTTTATAAATATAAAGAACAGTAATATTGCAATATATTATAGATATATACACTGCCCCTCGAAAAACAGACCACCTGGTTTTTGCACGAAAAATGGTCAAATTTGGAATTGCATATTCTCACCTTTTAAGTCACGGACCTGTGCTCGGACTCAATTTTTTTTTTAATTTTACGTTGAACAAGTTGGCTTTTTTAGATGTTTTCCTAGCTTCAGTCATTCATCAGTAAATTAAAAAATTCGAGAGCATGTTAAGTTTTTCCCTTTTTACAAAAACTTCAAATTGAGCCGTAGAGCCAAGAAATCGTCCTGGAGCGGTGCCCTATAGCAATCGATAGGAGATTTTAATAAGCTTTTCAATTGGTCACCTTCCATTTTGCCCCATTTTTCAACCGTTGTCGAGTTATTTACGATTTTTGGGCAACAAACGTGGTTTTTACGTGTTCATGGAGAACAAACCGATCACTCTCTCACTCACTCTCTCTCTCTCTCTCTCTCTCCTCTCTCTCTCGATTTTCAAGAATGTATAAATTTGAACCGTCATGTTTTCGCAATTTTACGCTCTACAACTTTAGTTCCGTGGAATTTTTCAAAACGTGAACAGCGGAGCGAGAATTCTTTTTTTTTCTTACATTGACCTTTTGCGATGAGGAATACTTCTGCTGTCGACAGCCAATAGTTTTCCTCAACACGGAAATTCAACTTTTCCTTCCCGTTTTACAGTTGTTGGGGCAGTTTAGCATCGAATAATGTGTTGAAACAGTGGGTTTATTTATGATAAAAAACAACAACATAAAAAGAGACAATAAACATTGTGAACAAACAAAATTGGACAAAATATCTAAATTAAACAGAGAGGAAAAAAGAACTACAATAGGAAATAGTAAAAACCAATTTTAACCTAATAAAAAATCAACATAATTTGGTTGTTCACTACGACTATTGTCTTTTTTTTACTTTTTACGCATTTTGTGCTTTTATATAAAAGAAAAGTTGGTTTTCACAACTTCATTTTTTTGTCGCTATGTTTATTGTCTCTTTTTTATGTTTTTAATGTTTTTTTGCTGTTTTATTAAGGTAAGTTGGTTTTTACACCTTTCGAATAGTTGCTATTTTTTTCTGTGTTGAGGGTAGATATTTGACCATTTTTTCTGCTTTGGTTGATCGCCATGGTTATGTCTCTTTTTTATGTTGTGTTTTTAATTTTTCGCACTGTGCGCTTTTCTTATTAGGGGAAAAGTTGATTTTTACAAATTTTGTATTGTTGTTCTTTTTTTGTCTGTAGAAATTTAGTCCATTTTTCTGCTTAGTTGTTCACAATGTTTACTGTTTCTTTGTTAAGTTTTTTTTTTATTTTAAGGTTTTTGTCCATTTTTTTCTACTTTGGTTTTTTGCTATGGTTAATGTCTCTTTTTTTGCACTTCGTGCTATTTTATTAGGGTAAAGTTGATTTTTACAACCTCTGTACTGTTGTTCTTTTTTTTTGTCTGTGTTTAGTGTAGAAATTTTGTCCATTTTTTCTACTTGTTTATTCACTATGCTTTCTGTTTATTTTTTAAGTTTTTTTAATCTTACACTTTTTGTGTATTTTTATTGAAGTGTAGAGCACGTGACGAAATTTGTCGTACGTGTAGGAGTCAACCTGTAATATCATAAGAATATTCAACATTCGATATCGCTTCATAATTAATTTCAATTCAGTATATAAAATTTTTAGTAATAAAATAGATTTCAATTTGCATATAATTTTACATTGTCTTTTTTTCACATAAAAAGCCTACATTACAACTTTTTTCGACAAAAATCAACATTATTCCAATATTCTTCAGGTTTTCTAAAATTAAGTTTTATTTCTGGAATAGTCAAACTAGTGGTAATTGATACGTCTATTGTTGTCAATAATTCTACTGATAATCAGTAATGTTAAATCTGTGATTGAAGTGCTAATTTTTGCAAAATTTTATGTAAATCAAAAGTACATTTATCTGGGCTTTTATGAGACCATTCTAGATGACTACTCTAGTTTGAACTGACATTTGACAAATTGCCACGATTATAAGTAGTAACTTATTCAACATTGACGGAAAGAAAGCAATTATAAATAAATTTAATGCTTACTTGAGAGCTGAACTTCTGCAAACCATAAAGCAAGTGTGAATGCGATGGCCATAACTCTTTTGCTCATCGTACCTAAAAACAAAAAGTATTTTAAAAAACTCTTTCAATGTTAAACTAAAATGCGTCAAATCATCTGAACGTGATTGACGGAGTGAATTATTATTTTATTTTTTTCACCGGTTCAGGATGCTTTATGACGAGGGCCGGCGGACCTTTCTTAGTGTCCTCGAGGTGGCTTTCATCTCGTGCCGTGGCCGGGTTATTTCGGTATCCCACACCCAAATCAAATTGAAGCCCATGAAATGGCCTGGCAGAAGAAAGGGTTCTAATCAAGCCGTCCTACTTCCGACTGCCGATTCGCCCATCCACCCACACGATCTTGGATATGGAGAAAATCTATTAGCGTGACTCAGGAACTGTTCGAAATTCCCTTGGGACGACAGCCTTTTAATTTTCTTCTCTTAGAAAGAGAGAAACCTTTCCATTACAACCGTCCAACCATGAGTTTACCAAAAAAATCAAACGTTTTTAAACCAAAGGAATTATTTAACCTTTTTTTTGTTACACTTCATCTATAACAAAAATTTGTGTACCGTCGGTGGAAGGCGACATACAGCCAGAATGTACGGATCCAAAGGTGGCATAACAACGATGAATAATATGGATCTCTGTATAGTCTAGGTGATAAACAGATACAAATTCAATTTTTTTTCAAACTATTTATTGCTTGTTTTCATAACCAAAATCATGGCTGTACAAATTGTTACTTGTACATTAAAAGTAGATTTTATTCAAATTAAAATAAATATTTTTGAAGGTTCATTTTCTTTCAAAAGGAAGCTTTCTGGAGCTTTACAAAGCTTAAAAGTTTGAAAGAGACCGTTGAGGTTCCTCACTGAAGAACGTGACGACGGAAACAAGTACGGTTCAGACAAAAAGCGAAAACATGCGGATCGAAAGTCAGTTCGTTCTGACGACGATCAATACAAGCAAATTTAAGCCCCAATTTTTATAACTGAACTAACTATAATCGATACAATATTATCCTATAATTCCAGTTATGACCTAATTAGTACAATGTCGGGTTTTTCCAACGTAGGTCTAAAGGACATGCAGATATTTATGAACTTAAGGGACTTAACAGTACTTATGGATTGTGATTGAGACATTGAATGAAATGTGTAGAGATTAGTGACCGTTAATCTATAGTTATTCAGATATCGTGAGATGCGGTCGGGAGTGATGTAGGTTTCAGAAAAATATTTTCTTTATCGTGCCAACGTTTCGATCTTTTATTGAGATCATAGGGCCTGGGATTTACAAACAATGTTTACATTTAACAAATACATTTAGGNTAATTTTCCAACAATTTAGCTTTCCTTTTCCTATTTATCCCCTTTATATATAATCCTGAAAGAATAATCTGGCCGAACTATTACCAACACATTGTTCCCCTTTGTCGGCTTTTTTCACTTCAAAGAAGCCGACGCCTTACACAAAATTGTCTTTTATATACCGACTTCCTTCCCCACCCCTTCAAAATCCAACGTATATAAACACAAAATAGCAAAATCTCGCTGGCACTCTCAACAAGACACGCAAGAATGGCACAATTGCACAGAAGACAAACACTTTGAGTGAGTAGAAATACTTTGATTGAATATATTTAAAAAAATATATTTTGCATTGTATAAATTCACTTATCCACATCCTAAATGTATTTGTTAAATGTAAACATTGTTTGTAAATCCCAGGCCCTGAAGATGATCTCAATAAAAGATCGAAACGTTGGCACGATAAAGAAAATGTTTTTCTGAAACCTACATCACTCCCGACCGCATCTCACGATATCTGAATAACTATTGAATGAAATTTTCACTGAAAGTGACATTAACCGAGACTAACTCGGCTAAGACAAGAAGCGATAATATGCGGATCCAAAGTTAGTTCCTCCTAACAACGATCAATAGAAAGAAACTGAAACCCCAATTTTTATGGCTGAACTAACTGTAATCTATACTATAATTTTATCATTCATCAAATAATAATTAATAAACATTGTAATTCCAGTTGTAAAATAATTTGTACAATGTTGGTTTTTTTCCAACGGTCTGAAGGACAAATAGTATTTATGAACTTACGGGATTCAACAGTACTTATGGATTATGATAAAAACGTTGAAGCAAATTTAAGCCTGAATTTTTTTGGCTGAACTAACTGTAAATCGATATACTTGTGTCATATAATTCAAGTTGTAAAATCATTAGTACATTGTTGGGTTTTTCCAATATAGGTTTGGAGGACAAATAGGTATTTACGATCTTAAGGTACTTAACAGTACTTATGGATTGTGATAAACCTAAAATATCTCGGCTAAGGCATAAAGCTATATTGTGCGGATCCAAAGTTACTTCGTCCTGACGACGATTAATAGAAACAAATTTAAACCCAAATTTTTATGTATGAACTAAATGTAAATTGATACAATTTTATCACATAATTCCAGTTGTGACATAATTAGTACAATGTCGGGTTTTTCCAACGTAGGCCTAAAGGACAAATAGGTACTTATGAGCTTAAGGGACTTGACCGTACTTATGGATTGTGATAAAAGATTGAATGAAATTTTCACTGAAGGTGACGTTATCCGAGACTAACTCGGATAAGACAAAAAGCGATATTATGCGGATCCAAAGTTGGTTCGCCCTAACAACGATCAATAGAAGGAATTTTAAACCCCAATTTTTATGGCTGAACTAACTGTATATACCATAATTACTGTACATACTATAACTAACGGTAAACTATCATTTTATCATATAATAATTAATAATACTGTAATCTATACTATAATTTGATCAGTCATAAGATAATAATTAATAAACATTATAATTCCAGTTGTGAAATAATTTGTACAATGTTGGTTTTTTTCAAACGGTCTGAAGGAAAAATAGTATTTATGAACTTATGGGACTCTGCAGTACTTATGGATTATGATAAAAACGTTGAAGCAAATTTAAGCCACAATATTTATGGCTGAACTAACTGTAAATTGATTCACTTTTATCAAGTAGTTCAAGTTGTAAAATAATTAGTGCAATGTTGGCTACTTTCAAAAATAGATCTGAAGGAACAATAAATTCTTAGGAACTTAAGAGACTTCGTAGTACTTATGGCGATTTGAATGTTTGAATGAATGAATGGCTGAAGCCGACAGACAAACCTGGCTCAGAGAAAGTGAGAAAAAATGCGGATCCAAAGTTAGTCCGGCCTAACTAAAGTGCATCAACCATAGATCAAAAATATATTTCAATAATTGTTTTAATAAATTTCATAAATCATATTGAGTTGTTCACTGCGTCTTACATAAAATTGACAAAATTCAAAATGAACGGCATTTCAGTGTTTTAAATAAACATTTGTAAATCCCAGGCTCTGAAGATGATCTCAATAAAAATCGAAACGTTGGCACGACAAAGAAAATGTTTTTCTAAAACCTACGTCACGGGTTCGAATCCAGCGGCCCTGCATTCGAACTCAACATACTTACAAATGGGCTTTTTTTCAAAAACACCGGCACCCTGAGGGTTTATATGACCTCTGCTGTTGCAAACCATCATAAAAAAATATATTTAAAAAAATAAAAAACGTGGATAATTTGTAATTACATTCATATCCAATCTATAAAAAAGAAAGTCGTATAAAAATAATATGTATTTATAAATCAGCAGCAAATTATGATTTTTGTACATTTTTCACTTACTCAAAATTTAGTGGCTTTTTCTCTCCCTTTGTAACATTTAATTGTTTCAAAATATATTTCAGAATCCTGTGTTTTATCAGGGGAAAGCAAAAAGTATTAAGATTGGCAAATAAGAATAATAAAAAATAATGTCGCTTGATGGTAAATTAAATTTTTAATGAACATAAATTATTACTTATTCAGAAATCGAGAGTCAATAATCAAATCAAAGTGCAGACAAACACATTGAGCCCTGAAGATGATTTCAATAAAGATCGAAACGTTGGCACGATAAAGAAAATGTTTTTCTGGAACCTACATCACACCAGACCGCATCTCACGATTTCTGAATAATCATCGACTAACGGTCACTAATCAACACACATTTACACACGTTTTAAATAAAGTTTGTACTTATCCTATGCTTAATTTATTTTATATAAATTACAATAAGTCAATACTCAGGTCTCTTTTTGAGAATCTTAATCTTCAGTTAAAAATGCCTATTTTTGAATTTACCTTCCTTGTTTTTCTTAGTTGCAACTTCTTCAAGTCGATTCGAAACCTTCATCCGGCGAATCCGTCGCCTCGCAAACGAGCTCTATTTTCCTCTTGAAAACAATTGTGTCAGTTTGAGTTTGAGGACAGTCCGCCTTCCGTTATTCTCGCATGGCTCTCCTGGAGCCATAGTAAAACACTCTCAACGAATTCTTCTCGAAATCAAGCTTTTCAAAACGGTGCTAAGTTTGTAATCAAGACAGGAAAAAACTTGGTTTTTAAAGCGACCAAATTAATTTTCTTTTTGAAATCTTAAGGATATCTTTTCAAACAAGAGTCGACACTGCAACAAAATGGCTAATCTCTAAAGTTACAAGGTGTACTTTTAAAAATATTGAACATTAACAAATGCGGTGTTCCCTCGAAAGTTTTCTCCACATATTAACCATGCAAATTTAACGAAAAGTACTTCAAGAGTGCATTGTTTGCTGATCTACATAGGACTTTCTTTCCCTGCGTCATAAAACTTTTACCGTAAAGAAAAAAAACTGTGTGGCTTTCACTGGCGTTAATGGCTTAGATAAACATCATCCGAATTCTTACAAACATCAAGAATTGACGGTCCAAAGTCTAGACAATCAGCAGACTTTCTATTGCAGATTTTGTATTTCTTTCTCAAAGGATGTCGGAAAAATACAACTACATCTACTATTTAAATTGTCAAGAAAAATGTATTTCTCATTTTAATATGGTATATAAAAATAATGACGTTTTGGGCTTTATAATTTTAATACATGATCATATAAATGTAGTTCTTTTTTTAAGTTGTTCATGTAATCAGTGGTTGTTAAAACTTGGAACAACCACCTTCTTGCATATATCGAATATATTTCAGGACTCACTTCAGCGATAATTTCGCCAGCTGGAAGGAAGTGCAATAACATAACATTAGAAAACATCAACTTTGTATATGCATAAATATAAGATGTAGTAATAACGATATAAATAGCAAGCAACATTTCCACACGAGAAGAACGAAGAACATGAGAGTCCATGAATAAATTTCAACTACATATGTACACGAAGCAAAAAGTATCCTGAAGGACATCGCCAACAATGAGAAGAAACTCGCATCGGCTATAAATCAGAGAACCTTTTTGTTAAAATGCAGACAACACAAGGCCCTGAAGATGATATCAATAAAGATCGAAACGTTGGCACGATAAAGAAAATGTTTTTCTGAAGCCTACATCACACCAGACCGCATCTCACGATTTCTGAAAAATAAATAGCAGTATAGCATACAAATTTAAAAATAATCCATTTACGTTTTTGTGGTCAATTGACCAAGTTACTTCTTTCAATTAATTATTCTTTTTATGTAAGGTCTTGGTTGAGATAAAAAAAAGTCAGTGAGTGTCACGAGCGGGATTCGAACCCACTACCTTCGGCTAAATACGCCGCTCTACCACTTGAACTATCGTGACTTCGATCCTCTCGTAATATAAAATATAATAATGATATTTTCCTAAGACGTATGCAAATTATGTTATGCTTATATACAAGATATATAAATATTGTGACTATATAAATTAAAGAATTATCTAATTTTTTCATTTGGGTCATTGACGGCCATGATTCCATGGTCACCGTTTCTTCCACTGTGACCTGAAAAATATATTGTGAAATTGACCCTTTATTATTTCTATTACGCTGAAATTTCACTATCTTCAAGGAATTTGATCACATTCTGAGGTATTTCCAGGCTAGTACTTTGCAGTCATATAGGACATGTTCCGATGACTCGTTTTTCATGACCGAGTGGGCAGATTTCTGTCTCAATTTTCCCAATTTTTAAAGGCAATATTCGAACGTGCAATGACCAGTATAAAACCTCTTAGTTTCCTTAATTGCTGGTTTGTCAGCGAGTGCATTGCCTTCAATCCCTTCCTTCCGGACGCCCACGACAGAGTTACTTGAGTGCATTTTGCCAAGAGTCGAAGATATTTTAACAATTCAATTAATTAAGGTTTTAAGTTGAGATAAAAAAAGTAAGTGTCACGAGCGGGATTCGAACCCAAGACCTTCGGCTTGATACACCGCTACTCTACCACATGAGCTATCGTGACTTCATTCTCCTCGGGCACTAATTTCCCATTTCAACCCCACTTTTTGAATTTTCCCTCCTTTTTGCCACTTTTCAAATGTCGTGTAATGGATTTGTTTCTCGGCGACAAGTGAAATGGCCACGGAGAGCTTTAGTGAAGTATACTTCATTTTAATTCATTAAATTCACTATTTTTCGTGGTCCGCTTGACCAATTAATATCATTCAATTAATTAATTAAGTGTCACGATAGCTCAAGTGGTAGAGAAGCGACGTATCAAGCCGAAGGTCGTGGGTTCGAATCCCGCTCGTGACACTGACTTTTTTATCTCAACTTAAAACCTTAATTAATTGAATGATATTAATTGGTCAAGCGGACCACGAAAAATAGAGAATATTTTAGCAATTATCAGACTAGGGTGAAGGTGGAGGGGTCTAAAGTCTTCAGTTCGGCTTGGCTGTTGGAAAGGTGTACATTTGTTCACCTTTTTTTATATTTCCTGTGCGAGGATCTTACCTTGGAAGATTGTTGTTGTGTCAACTATGGGGCTAGACGTTTCACCAAGTCGAAGTTTGGTCCTTGGACAATTATCGAGATAGTTCTTTCAGGCTAACAAGTCAGTCTCTCATATCAACTGCCTCTCTCCACTTCAAAAATTTATCAGATAAAATATAGTCGAAACGAAATATTCACTGAAAATGACGGTAGGTACAAGGCACAATATGATAAAAAGCGAGAATGTCCATACCCAAAGTTAGCTCGACCAAACAACCATCTTCACAGAGTATATTTTCGTAATATGTTTTTAATTGTGAATCATTATTTAAAATTGACGACAAATTATTACGTTAGATTATTTATTCAGGTGCTCAACCTACCATTAACTTTCTAATATAACATTATGTTCGTTTTCATACTTTTCCACTCCAAAGAAATCACCCAAACACTGAAGATGGCGAAATGCCGAAATGCGCCTGATTGACAAAAATCAGCGAGGTTAGGCAGACCAACCAAATCTTTGAAGGAGAGGACATCATCAAATCACTCCCCGAGATAAAATGGTCCAAAATCTTGGGGTTTGTGAACAAGTCCAAGAGGTTTATGCAGGACACGTGAGCCGACCAAGTCCCGGACCTTTTAGGGATGGGGTACGAGTCTACCCAGGCATTTAACCCCTCGGGTCTTGGTCGCCCACCCTGCATAATATATATAGGCAGACCAACATTATCAAACGAAAAAATTAGGCTACATCGAGTAAAACGGTACAAAGCAGTCATACGCGAAAGAGCGGGGAACCCAAGTTTTACCTAACAACGACCAACAGTCATCCCAAAACAGTCTTTACTTCGAACTAAAAAAAGTTTATGCAGTTGGACTCAGCCAAATCGCAATTAAGTGTTTGAAAGCCTAAAGTCTAAAGAGCTAGACAGACAGACAGACAGAGATTGATAGATCGCTTTATTTAATCGCGCCAAGTTAGGTCTCTTGGACATTTGTACCACTTTACGAGAGAGAGAGAGAGAGAGAGAGAGAGAGAGAGAGAGAGAGAGAGAGAGAGAGAGTGAGAGAGAGCAGATTTCATAGATGTTATTACAATTGCTTCTAGCTTTTTTTCTATTAAAGTCATAAATGTTTCAACTAGCTAAGCTACTATCCTAAGTACTAAGCTGGTATCCAAGGGACATTTTTTTACCCCAGTCATTGGCCAAACCGAAAAGCATGCCTCTTCATGAAGTTTGGGAGGTTTCTATTATGTTGANGATCGAAACGTTGGCACGATAAAGAAAATGTTTTTCTGAAACCTACATCACACCAGACCGCATCTCACGATATCTGAATAACTATCGATTAACGGTCACTGATCGCTACACATTCTGAAATATATTTTTAAACAATTAAATGTTTACAAAGAGAGAGAAAAAGCCACGAAATTTTGAGTAAGTAAGTGAAAAATGTACAAAAATCATAACTTGCTGCTGATTTATAAATACATATTATTTGTATACAACTTTCTCTTTTATAGATTGGATATAAATGTAATTACAAATCAACCACGTTTTTTTATTTTTTAAAATATATTTTTAGGAGGGTTTGCAACAGCAGATGTCATATAAACCCTCAGGGTGCCGGTGTTTTTGAAAAAAAGCAAAATTTATGAGTTGGAATGCAGGGCTGCACCGACGCCCTCTCTTCTTTGATTAAAAAAACCATATAATTTTATGTAATAAATAAATGATTTAAACTTCAAATAAATAAAGTAAAATAAATTCTCAACTTCGAATAAAATAAGTAAAATAAACGATTGTGAACTTCAAATGAATGAAGAAAAATAAAATCCGAATTCAAAATAAGTAAAATTAAAACGAACTTAAATTAACGATTTACAAATCGATCGATTTTACTAGCTAGCAAACAGTCCAAATATTTAATAAATTGGAACCACTTCCCTCATAAAACGACGATACAACGATGGACAGGATGGCGATGACATTGATGATGATGAATGAGGAAAAATGGTGACGATGCGATAAGGAGGAAAACGAAAAAAAAAATTTACTTCGACGGAACAACGATCGAAAGACGACTGACTCTCTTATCTACGGTAATCGCCAACTCACTGAGCCAAAGAATAAACAGGTGCGGATTAACGAAACGCGATTAAATAAATTCGGCAATAATTAGACTCAATCCTTCTTCTTAGAAGTATCAGGTCATTGACTGTTGCTGCTGCAATTTGATTCCCTAAGTTTTTTCCAAACGTTAGGTTAAACCTCCATTGAGCTGTTGCTTCGCATTCGAAGATGATATGAGTGGCTGTTTCTTCCTCCTCATTACATAATCTGCAAATGGGAACTAAGCTGGTATCCAAGGGACATTTTTTTACCCCAGTCATTGGCCAAACCGAAAAGCATGCCTCTTCATGAAGTTTGGGAGGTTTCTATTATGTTGATTTGGAAATTTGACGATAATCTAACAGTCAGACATCAAAATCGGTTGGCACCAGCGTGAAACGGGCCCCCCGGGTGAAATCCGTCTGTAACAATTTCCGAGAAGAGGGCGCCGTACAGAAAAACATTAGACCTCCTTTCGTTAAATACGAATCACGGCGCCTGTTTTTCCAAGATCGATAAAAAGAAATAAGAAAGCTGTTTTCATCCCAATTCCGTTTCCGGTTATTATTGTCACCCGGGCTGTAATTAAAGTCGAGTCCCGCTCCGATTGCGATTTCGGCCCATTCGATCCGCACCACTTAAGACGACGCCACCGGCTCCCATTTTGTCCCCCTCGGCACAAACACGAAAATAAACGCTTCTAATCTTTTCTATGATATACATGATTTGTTGTTACCATTTTATAATGATGTTGACTACACGAGAGTTCAACGTCATTACATTCCAACTAGGCACACCTTTAACATCGCCCTAAATATACTGCTCAAAAAAATGGCGCACTTGTAAATTTTGATTTATTTTTTAATTCGACAATATTTTGGCCATATTTTTTGTTTTACTTCCTGCTTTAAAAATAATTTTATAATTATA